ACTATTGAAACCGAACCACTTTAAAACTACTAAACCGAACCGAACCCATCTAGAAATAACTAGTTGAAACTAAACCACAAAAAAAAAAAAAAAAATCAATCATCCTCCCTCACAAAACTCAGTGCCGCCTCAGCCTCTCACTGCCGATCAATGGCCACAAGCAACTACTTTGACCCTCGTCCAACCTCTCCTTTACGTCGGGATTCTACTTACGTCGGGATTCTACTTCTTCCTTATCTCGGCGTTTCTTTTGCACAATTAGAAAGAAAGAGGAGAGACGTCCTCTTTTTTCTTCCTTGAGTGAGATGTTATCTAGCTCTATTCACTATATTGAAACGCTCACTCCTGTCTCAATTAGGTCATTTCTTCCATCAACCCCTACTGCAATCAGTCTCTTCAAAGCAAAGGATATATGTTTTAGATTACTGTATTTTCTTTTTCTTTTCTAATATGTAGAGCTCCGTAATTATATAAGTGTGAGTTGTATAATAGATTTCATTAAAATTATATACTGAAGATGTACGAGTTATGGATTTATTTTAAAGTTAATTGAGGACCGCAAGCCCGTGATACATTTGAGTAAATGAATGTAAAAGTTATGGCATGATGAGCTTGAGACTCAGTTTATCTAAAACGTCGACTGTTTAGGCTTGTTGCGGATTTAGGTGGAGTTGAGGCTTGTTGCGGATTTAGGTGGAGTTGAGCATGCCCAAATCCTAGTACTGGTCGGTTAATAAATTTAAGTCGTAAGATTTATATACAAAATTTAAATTTAAATTGTTTAGGTATTTAATTCAATTAGTCTTTTTTTTATGACATACATTTGCACGTTTATTATACTCATTATTTATACTCATTTAATTTTTTTGTTTACGTAATATTAAAATATAAATTTTTATTTAGATTAAAATAAATAAAATGTTCATTTATATTACACTTTGCCCTAAAAACTACTTGTAATCTTGTTTCTATATACTTCTATTTTATATAATGAAATGGTCTTAAAGTAAAGTTTACCGTAACCCCTAAACGTAATTTCAGCTCCTAATTTATACAGATTTTTGAAACCATCTAAAAAGTAAATTAAACCATCACTCAATCCCCATTCTTTCTGTCCCCAACCCTTATCAATATCTATATATATTAATAATGGAGAAGTAAAAAATAAATAAAAAAAAATTCCTTGAAAAACTGATTTGAATTGTTTAAAAATAACATGAGCCAGAATAATAGTAATAATTACTTTGGCTATATTGATAGTATTATATACTTAATGCATTAGAAAAATGAACATATTCATATGCACGGATCCTTGAAACCTTCAAAAGTGATCGAAAATCGAAATATATAGTTCTAATTTTTTTTCAGTTTTTTAAATACTATTTTCCTTCGAATCAAACAAATTTAGGATATAAGAGAAAAAATTTCAAAAAATTAAAAATATTTAATCATCAAGAAACTAAAATTATTTAATCATCAAGAGACCATCTTTTTATTACAAGAAGATACAAATCTCTTACTAAAGAAAACAAACTACTCCAATTTGAATATTAAAAATCAGCCCCTTCTTCAATTGGAAAGCCATGATTTAATGAAATTTGAAATTTGAAATTTGAGTTTGATGTACAAAAAAAAAAAAAAAAAAAAAAAAAAAAAACTAAAGTCAAAAAAGAAACCATATCCAATCAAAAACATATCCAATCAAATTATACAAATATAAAGAAAAATAATATTTAAAAATAAATGTAAAAAAAATCAAATACAAATTGTAAAAAAATAAAAAAAAATTCAAAAATCAATTCTAGTCAAAATATTTTAAATTACAATCAAATATTAGATATTTTTAAAGATTTTTCCTTATCCTTTTCTCTCTCCTAATAAAAAATATTTAAAATTACATTAGATATTATAAATATTTTTTAAGATAAAATTATTTTAATTGGCTATCATAAGTTATTTCAGAATATTTTAAATTTCACCAAAAACACTGTCGAAAATATCATTATTTTCCCTATTTCCACATTTATATATAGTATAAATAGATTAAATAAAATTTTTTTGGATAATTTAAAATAAAACACATTAAATGGAATAGATTCAATGAACTGACAAATTTTTATTAAAAATGATTAGATTAAATTTTAAAATATTTAATAGATGAACTAAAAAATATTAAAATTTATTATGTTCGTGCGTGCACTATTCAAAAATTTTAAAGTTTAGAATTTTTTAAAAAAAATTAGCGAAAAGATCTTTGAAATTAAAAAATTTGAAAGTCATAATTATGTATGTATTTGTTTATAAATTACTCAAATATTATGTGTATGTAGTATTTAAAAATTTAAAATATAAAATTTTAAAAACTAAGGAAAAAATCTCTAAAATTCAAAAAAAAATTTGAAAATTATAATTATCTATTATATAATTAATTATCCAAAATATTATATAATTATTATATATACTATATATTATATATATATATATATATTATAATAATAAATAATAAACTAAATTTTTTTGATTGACAAAAAGATATTTCAAGATATCTCGTAATTATTTCACATTCTATTATTTCTCCCGGAAATCCTTTTATTTCCACATTTTGCTTTGATTACACGTTGAGATACATAGATATATAGATACCTTAGAGTCTTATAGTATGTGGAATTCTTCTGTTTATAGAAAAATTATCTAACTGGTTTTGCTGGAATTGAATATGATCTAATACAATATGATATAATAACAATCAATATTTATGGAAAAAAAAAATTAAAGTGTTGTCTTTATAAATAAAAAAAATTGAAAGACTTAGATATAAATAAATAGATATAAAAAGAACAAAGTGATATATATATATATATATAATTGGCATTCATTGGATTGTACTAACAATTAGTTAATTCACTAATTAAAAATTGCAAAAATTGCATTGCACTAACAAAAATCACAGAACACACTGTAAATTCAGTCAAAGGGATGCCACATTTCAAAAATCAAGTTTTTGCTTACAAAATTCTGCAATAGATTATTTTTTTTATCTGCAAAATTTTTAATTTTTATAATTAAAATTACCAGAAAAAAACTTAACAAACATAATTGGGAAAAAAATTAATTAAAATACAAAGAAAAATCTGGTAAATTACTCATCAAACCCAATTAGCAAAAAGTAGGCCCACTTGCTAATTAAGTAGCACCAACTAGTTGATTGTAAATCTTTTATCAGTTCAGTCATTCAATTATATATATATATATATATATATATATATAATTGAATTTGTTTGATTTTTTAATACTAAGTTAAAAAAAGTTGAAAAATGTAAATGAGGCGATTTGGCTTCAAGGATTATTTGATAAAATGAAAATTGGACAAAAGCATAAAAAAGTGCATTGACATAGTGAGTGTTATCCATTTAGCAAAGAACTAAGTTTATCATGCAAAGATAAAACATATCGATGTTCGATATCACTTTGTATGAGAAATTTTAGAACGTGACATATTACTTCAAAATATCAAAATAACTGAAAATCCTGCTGATATAACGATAAAAGTAGTGACAGTTATCAAATTAATCAATATCGTTGAAAATTGAGTTGCTCCCTTCGAGGGCACAACGGAGAAGGTGAGGAATTTCTAATTATATATCTGTTTAGACATTAAAATAGCATACTTTAACTCAGTTTTCAAGCCCTTTGGATTGTTATATTAACCATCCTTTTATTTATGTTTTTCCTCTCTTTCATTTGAAATATTATTTAACAGTGTAGGACCCTTCATTGTTCTTTACCTTAAAAAAAAAAAAAATCTATCACTCTCTTTAACTATAATTACTATAATTACTATCTTTTTTTCTTTATCAACAAAGATGAATTTTTATTTAAGAATTAAATAAAAATAAAAATGGAAAAAACTCAACTAACCATGTTTTTACACTCAAGCCATCAGGTTTCTCCAGTACATCATATCCTATCTTGGAAAGTTAATTAAGTAAAACCTGAATCCACACCCAATAGATAATTCAAAATATACGAGCAAATAGCAGCGGTACCTTTTCATGAGAGGAGAAAAGCAACTATTGACAAACAAAAAAAAACACAAATATATCATATATGAATTTATAACCATGCCAAAAAAAGGTAAAGGTATTATAGCCGTTACCCCTTTCTTTGCCAAAGAAATAGCCGTTACCCCTTTCTTTGCCAAAGAATATGCAAATGAGCTTTTTTTTCTCTTTATACGACAGAACTAAACTTAAATAAAATATTATATAATGCATCAGATCTGGTAATATTTTCCCGTCATTCCCATTATTTTTTATTTTTTCCATATGATAGCATCCTTAAATCAGACTCAATAATCAAAAGGCAACTATTATATTGCGATTTATAGAATAATTCTATTACATTTAGAATGGCTAAGAATTTAGTAGCGTTTTGAGTCCATAGCACCCACAAATTTAAAAAACAAACACAAGACATTACCTGAGGCATTTCTAAGCATACCACCAATATCTGTATCTCCTGACTTGCCTCTTGAGGATCCATCAACATATTGAATTTCAAGGTTCCATGTTCCGGCGGCATACACAACTGAGATTCAACTTGGTACATTTTTCTTTAATTTATTCCAGCAACACTATTGCACATAAGAATGGGAAAACACTGAGCAATAAGGCGGAAATCTCCTTTAAGCAGTTTTACTATTCAATTTTCAATAAATTTATGTTTAAAAATATACAATATTCCAAATAGAAAAATATTCCTACCGTTAAATTCACAAATCAAAAAATTATTTATTAACAAGAGGAGAGCACAATCTAAGAAACTAAAACTGAGTTTGGGATACCCCCGATACTCTGTTTAGTTATTCATGATTTAACCAGTAAACCTTAAAACTAGCGGGGGACTACTAAGACATTATATTAAACATTATAATATATTTAAGACATTATAAATATATTAGGATACCAACATTTATAATAAACATAGCAAGCTAATTTGAGGACATTTATTTCTTTTTTTTTTTTTTTTTTTTTTATGCAGGTTGATATTTAATTGGTACAAGCAATAAAGCTTCTTTCTTATGAGTAGTAAGACCAGGACCAGATGCCTCTTCCATATTAATGTCTGCCTCCTTCATATTGCCAGGTAACTTCCAATCAAAACAAAACAAAAGGTTTGCAAGCGCAATCTCCACCAAAGACAATGCCATAGTCATACCCGAACAGCTTCTCCTACCACTGCCAAATGGTAAAAATTCATAATTTTGCCCTATAAAATCAATGGATTTATCAATAAATCTCTCTGGAAAAAATTCTTCAGGATTTTTCCATGCTTTAGGATCTCTTCCAATTGCCCACACATTGACCTCGACTCGAGTTTTGGGATGAATTTCATAGCCATTGATGCTGAATTGTGACATGTTTTCTCTTGGTATTAATAGTGTTCCTGGTGGGTGCAATCTCAGTGTTTCCTTCACCACCATCTTTAGGTATTCAAGCTTGTGAATATCACTTTCAGATACTTTTGTTTTGTTTCCAATTAATCTTCTGATTTCTTCTTGTGCTTTTCTCATAATTTTTTTTTCCCGGTATATAGTCAAAAATATCATTGTTTCAACGATAAATCTTATTATATTGGTTTAGTCCATGAGTGAAGCTATAGACCGGATTTAGGTAAAATTTTTCGTACACTATTTTGAATATAAAAATATTCTACCATTAGATTCACAAATCAAACAAATTATTTATTAATTCCATCCCTAAAATTTATTTTATTATACAAGAGGAGAGCCAAGCTCTAAGAAATTAAAAGCTAAGTTTAGGATAGGATACTCCCTTACGTCATGATCCCTTACGTCATGATTTAAACAGTGAAATAAACCAATAAGAAGACTACTAAGCACATGCGTACTAACATTATATTAAACATAGCAGGCTATTTGAGACATTTATTCTTTTTCATGCAAGTTCATATTTAATTAGTACAAGCAATAAAGCTTCTTTCTTATGAGTAGTAAGGCCAGAACCAGATGCCTCTTCCATATTAATGTCTGCCTCCTTCATATTGCCAGGTAACTTCCAATCAAAGCAAAACAAAAGGTTTGCAAGCGCAATCTCCACCAAAGACAATGCCATAGTCATACCAGGACAGCCTCTCCTGCCGCCACCAAATGGTAAAAATTCATAATGTTGCCCTTTAAAATCAATGGAGTTATCAATAAATCTCTCTGGAAAGAATTCTTCAGGATTTTTCCAAGTTTTTGGATCTCTTCCAAAGTTTTTGGATCTCTTCCAATTGCCCATACATTGACATGGACTCGAGTTTTGGGATAAATTTCATAGCCATTGATGCTAAATTGTGACATGGTTTCTCTCGTAATTAGTAGTGTTCCTGGTGGGTGCAATCTCAGTGTTTCCTTCACCACCATCTTTAGGTATTCAAGCTTGTTAATATCTCTTTCAGATACTTTTGTTTTGTCTCCAATTAATCGTCTGATTTCTTCTTGTGCTTTTCTCATAACTTCTTCATAACTCGAGGATTTCTGACAAGTTTTGCCATAGCCCAGACTAATTACTATGCTCCAGTTGTTCCATCCACCTAGAATATATTCTGATGTACATGTGTACATATTTACATTGAAATATTTAACAATATTTTAACAGTGTCAAAAATTCAAGTCAGAACTAAGGATTGCTCATGAATTCTAAAATTTTTTTTATCAGAAATTATCAGTCAGAATTAATTGTAAATTTAATTGATTTGTTAGATTGCAAATGCTTTGATTCAACAATGAAATATAGTTTTACTCTTTTTTTTATTGGTTTGGGCTATGAGTAAACCCATGAACTTGGTCTAAACCAATCAATTCAATTAATTCATAACTAGCAAACAAAAGAAGAAAAAGAATTAAAGAACGAAGAGATTAACGTCTTGTTTGAACCATACAATATTGTTGAATTTGAAGAGAGCATAATTTGTTATCGCATAGAATAGCTATTCATCATTTTGATTCAAATTTAAACTTGAAATAACTATTTTAACCAATAGCAAATTTATAATGTTAAATTTTAGTTGAATGTTTAATCATAAAATAATTCATTATATGTAATAGATATTTTTCAAATTTATAAAAAACAATATTTGATGAAAAAACTAACTATTCTATTTCTTTTTAATTTAATTCACTAACCAAACAAAGTTTTTAAGAATCAATAGGAATATTACCATGATAATTGCTTTGATGTGACTTTTAGAGAATTGAATTCCTTCAGATTCAGTTTGATATCTCTCCAAATCCAACAAAACATCGACAATATCTTGATGTCCATGTTGAAGCGGCAGGAATCGCTCACCGGTCTTCTTTCTAGAGATCTTGGAGTCACCCACGATCTTCCGCCAGTAATCCCTAATTATCTAATCCCTAACTATCTCTCTGAGTGGCAGAGAATAGAATAACGTGCGTCTCTCTATTCTTAGGGTTTTCAAATCTTATATTAAAAAAAACTCTCTTCGATAGAAAGATATTTTTTTTTAATATAAAATAAATTAAATAAAAAATTATTTAATTAAAATAATTATCAATTATTTTAAAACTGAATAATTTATCTATTATTTAATACACCCTTAACTTTCCAAATAATTAGGGCACTACAGGGACCTCAGGAATAAAATAAATCAGGCTACTAATTATAATAATAACCTATGTAGACCAACATATTCTTATTATAATTAATCATGAATTATTCCACTATTCCACTAAAAACTCATGACTGAACCTCCTTTATTTATTTTTACAATTCCCACAACATCCACAACATAATAAAATAATGTTCCCCATGTTAAGATTACAGATGCTGTCATTTAAATAACTTACTGACAATTTATTTAAATCACAATATAACTTTATGTTTCTGAGAAGGATTATTTCATGTGTCGGATTCAAAATCCACCTGCAGGGTTTACACTATGAAACCTTATAAGCTTACTTAAAGTGCATCATCAATCTCTAAACCGAGACATTGATTCTATCATTAATTAATATTTCACAAACACAAAAAGCTTTGCCCAATTCACCGAGAATATTATTCCAATAATGAAACTCATCCTTTAATGAATCAAAGCATAAGACAATCAATGTTTGCTCATATTAAAATAAATCAAGATTAAGAACAATAAACATTATTTCTAATGTCTTAGAGAATATGTTTAACAGTCATTACTAAAAACAGTCATATAAACAATCCATTCTCTACTTGGTCCAAATTAAATAACCATACAAAAGTACTAATCAGCAATTATTGGTTTCATAATGCCTAATAACATTTTATTTAATGCAAATTTAATTAAATACAAAAGAAATAAATTGTCAATTAGAAAAATCATGCATAGCTTACTATTACATAAAGCATGGTTAATAGTAATATCTTTCTAATCAAATAATTGGCTTTTGATGTGACTTTTAGAGAATTGAATTCCTTCAGATTCAGTTTGATATCTCTCCAAATCCAACAAAACATCGACAATATCTTGATGTCCATGCTTAATCTTTTCCTTTTTTGGATATGATCTCAAAATAATCTTTCTGGTAAGAAAGAATTCATCAAGTTCTTGAAAGCTTCTTTCCAGTTTTGAATGGAGACCTGTAACCCTATCAACAATCCAACCCACATAAGGAAAAAAGTCAGATGCAGAAAAACCCCCTAACTTGGCTAAAGCTTCATGAATCACTTCTTGAAACCTTTCTTGGGTAAATCCTCTTGTTGCAAAACTATTCCCAAAAGCTACTCTACAAGTAACATTTGCAGTAAGAGACATAATTTTTTCACTAAGATCCACAGGAGAAGAAGAAGAAGAAGCTTTTAAAATCGAACCTATGAAAAGACCCACTTCTTCTTCTCTAACGGATTGAAACGATTGAACTCTTTTAGCACTAAAAAGTTCAAGAACACAAATCTTTTTTATTTCTCTCCAGTAATCTCCATAAGGTGTAAAAGCTATATCAAGAGTACCAGCCAGTAAGATAGTCTTCCAGTACCAGCCAAGCGAGGTCTACTACAACTACTGAGGTCATTTATTTTGATAAGCTCTTTTGCTGCTTCTGCAGAGGAGATAATAAGTGCAGGAACTTGACCAAACTGGAGAAGCATGACCGACAGGACCCGTATTTCTTGATAGTTGCGCATAAACAGTAATGAGTAAGTGAGGTAAGGTCCCAAGTTGGTGTAAATTTCCTATTATAGGAAGTCTAGGAGGACCTGGTGGAAGGTGCTTGCTATTTAGTTTCTTTTTCAAAAGAAAAATGAAGGGTAAGAGAAGAAGAAGAAGAAGAGATAACCACAGATGTAGATGAAAAGAAGCCATTTTTTTTTTGTGTTGGAAGAGCATGTATTCGAAGCAGAGGAGAATACTATATATAGGAAAAAAAACTATCACACCAAACCCAATACTATTTTTTATTCTTTTTCTAAACAGGTTAAATGAGGAAAAGCTTTATTAAACTAAGTACGATTAACTTAAAAAATAGATTTAAAAACTCGTTAATAGATTTAATAAACTAGCTTCATAATTTAATAGATGAAGATCATAGATGAAGATCAATATTATTAAAGATTTCAAATGAGGTCTTCGTGGACCTGAATATCAAGCAGTTGATTTGCACTCCTAGTATATATATCCAAATCTTATTACTGAGTACTGCCCAAACCGGCGCGAGTTTAGTCACAGTTAAGTGTTTAGTGGGAATTGAACTCGAGAGTTCTTCCACTAAAACTAGTAGAAAAATAGTAGGCTACGTTCACGGTACCAACTCCGAATATTGCTTTTACTAAAAATAGTAGGCTTACAAAGAGAGTAATATAAAACTAGTAGCACTCAAAAAGTGTTTCCAAAAAAAATACAAATAGTAGAAAAACAGTAGACTACGTTCACGGGACTAATTCCGAATATCTCTTTTACTAAAAATAGTAGGCTTACAAAGGCTTACAAAGGGAGTAATATAAAACTAGTGGCACTCAAAAAGTGTTAAACTAAGTACGATTAACTTAAAAAATAGATTTAAAAACTCGTTAATAGATTTAATAAACTAGCTTCATAATTTAATAGATGAAGATCAATATTATTAAAGATTTCAAATGAGGTCTTCGTGGACCTGAATATCAAGCAGTTGATTTGCGCTCCTAGTATATATATCCAAATCACCGCCCAAACTGGCGCGGGCTTAGTCATAGTTAAGTGTTTAGTGGGAATTGAACTCGATCTTTCAACATACTTAGCTTGCATTGACAACGGAGCCACAATCCGTAGATTATAATTTTGTTTGAATATAATATTATTAAAATTGCATTAATAACTTCAAATTAATACAAATAATACAAAGAGAACAAAAGCTCTCTCCTGAAACCCGGATATAAAACAAAACTATTATAATTAAAATAGTTATCATTCAATGATCTATGAAATCCTAATGAAAATTATTGGAAGGTGAACTTGAAAAATTAATAGAATTTTAAAGTGATTGACTAGACAAACTCTCTAAATCAAGATGGAGATAAATTAAAAAAAATAAAGGAAATATAATTTATATAGATCCATATCAAACAAACATAAATCTATAATTTATTTGACAAAATACATAAATATTTGCAAAAAAAAAAAACAAAAAAAAAAAAAAGAGAGAGAAATAACGATTGGAGGCGTTATCATAAGAAATAAGATGGAGGCGTTATCATATCTTGTATTTTTGATGGAGAAACAGTTAAAAAATTTTAATGAAGAGGAGAGAAGAGATGGGCTAGGATTTTTTTTTTTTATTATTTTGTAACCGTCCTAGCTTCAAAAGTTTTTTTCGTAATATAATTTACATATAAGGATTAATACGTATTTAACAATAAGAAAAGGAATAACATCACAAATTTTGAGTTTGTTTTAATTTGTTCTTTTGGATATAACTAGTCTTTGATATGACATGCGTCGCACATTAGTGTTTTATATGACATGCGTTGCCTGTTGACTATGCTCGTTATATACTCATTTTTTGTACTCTTTTAATTTTTTTTATCTATATAATATTAAACCATAAGTTTTTATTTAAATTAAAATAAATAATTTAAATTTAAAAGTAAATACGACAGTGGTTAAGTTGTATTGCATTTTGCCGCACAAGCTTATTTGTAATGTTACTTTTATGTACTTAATTACTACATATATATATATTAATGAATAAGAATACATCAACATAGTTTATAATGAATAATCATTATTGCTACACAGTAGAACCTAATAATAACTTTTAGAACTTACTTTCTAGAACTTGACATCTTAAATATTCGTCTTGTCTTTCATTTTTTTTTTTTTTATCTTGGAACCAAAATCTACCATTATCTTTGGAACCAAATCTACCATGTTTCAAGCATGTCGCAAATTCATTAGCATAGGCAGTTTGTCCTTCAAGGACATCAATTCTAATAGGAGCATTTGCAGCTAGTATGTAAGATTTATTTCTCTTTTGGATCAAGAAATATATCTGATAATTAATTTGTAATATTTTGCAAAATGAATTATCTTTTAAACTTTTAAATTCATATTGCCTCGTATGAGAATCAAGATATAATAACGATAATTCTTTTCCAATCAATTATTTTTCTACCAACTTATTTCCTCTCTCCAATGTCGGGATTCATAACAATTAGCAAATTTGGCATCTATAACTTTCTTATTTGAAAGTTCTAAATATTTAATACTAGATCATATCCGACATATATTTTTAACCTCTTTTGAGGATCTAACTTAGTGCGTAGTGGTGGAGTTATTAGAAAAATATAGCGCACATTTAAAAATTCCTTGATGGGTAATATTTAGTTCTTGATCCAAAATTAATTGTAAAAGGGAGAACATATAATAATTTATTAGTCTGATGCGAGTAAATACTACTACATATAATAGCATGTCCAGCTACAAAAATAGGGAGCTTTGTTATCATAATAATGGCCTTGAAATTAATTGCAATCAGTTAATAAATGATTATATTAAATCATTTTGAGCATAAATAAAAGCAACAGCGGGTTACCCTAAATTATTTAAATTAACACTACCCTAAATTATTTAAATTAACACGTGTTAATCATTAAAGGTCTAATGTGTAAATTCATCATCATTCTCAAGATAAATTAGCTTACTAGCATAATCTGGAAATTGCATTTTTAATCAAATTATTGCACAAATTAATCTTACAAAGTCAGGTTGCAAGCTAACAATAATCTTTGCAAACTTCAGGTTACAAGTTAATAATATGATGTAACTATCCTTTGAATGCATCCATAAAACATCTTAATGATCCACATGGTGGATTTAACCTTTATATATTCTAAAAAATGCAAGTAGTTCAATTTGAACTCCATTTGGCAATTGCTAAATAATTAATTTGCTTTAAGAACAAACTAAAAATGAAAAATTCAATAGATTTCTTCAAATTTCTGGTTCTTCAAGAAATATCCCTATAAGGATTAAATTTTTCTTGTTTGCATCATCATTGATCAAGATGGTCAAATGCATCATCATTGATCAAGATGGTTGATCAAGATGGTCAAATTGATTATGCCAAGTAATAAAGTAATTGGATTTGTAATCTTTTGGTTTACCACCATATCCATTTTTAATGAATATTTTTGAAAATAATGCATTATGCATTCTTCTTAGTAGTAATATTTGCTCTTCCGGAACGTTTAAATATTCTTTTACTGCCAAAGTCAAATTTGTTTTTCCATTTTTTGGTGTGTAACAAATAGATAACTAATATTCATCTATGACACATTATTTGTACCACTTCTAGTGATAAAATTTATTCTTAATTATGTGGCCACCATAATTGTTAAGATACTTCAAGTGTGATCTTACTGGTATTCTAAATGACAAGTACATCTTTGTCATTATTCATGCCCAATATCATATAATTGCATTTAATTCAGGGAATGCATCAAATCTAGTTGAGTAGATATTGATATACCCATATATATTTTATTCCATTCACTTCAAAGAATGGAATAAAATCTAGTTGGGCGGCCTCATAATCTTTATTAAGATCTCTTTATTTTGCTCAATGATAAAAGGATAAGAAATAAACCCAAAATATATCTTAAATCTTTCCTCTCGATATTGTTATTTCAGGAGTATATTCTATTCCGAGTACTAATATCATTGATGTAAATTAAGACGCTAATATAGGCTCCAAATATGAATAATAATATTATAACAAAGAAATCTATTAGATCTCAAAATAGTTACCCATTAAATTATATGCCGTAAATAAAATAATTATAAAAAACAATAATGTCCAATACTACAGTAAGGATTATAAAATATTAAACATTATGAATTTTGGAATATAAGTTAAAAAGCACAGTCAGCTCACTTTTCCAGATAATACTTGAATATTTTAATTTTTTGGCCCATACAATTTTATATTTGAACTTTGTATAAGAAGGCTAAATAAATATAAAATTAACAAGCTACGATAAATTAAAACGACTTAAGAGTTGATAGCCATCATAAATATGACTAATAATATCTTTGTCTCAATGGGTAAATTCAGACCAAAGATTATAATTGAAGATGCGAATATCATTCTTATTATTTATATTAATGAGTAGTGTCATTATTATTAACCAGAGTTCATATAATAATATATATATATATTATATATATATAAATAAATATAGATGTGAATCCTAATAGAAGTCCTAAGAAATTAAAAAAGATAAGTTCCAAGAATTAAAAAATACAGATCTTCTAACCTATAATAACGACATCCATAATTTCATAATATTATGTATTTATTTATAAAAAGCAGTCAAATTTTTATAACAGCTGCTAATTTTGCAGAATGCCACTATAACTTTATCTGGTTGAATTCCATTGAGAAATACATGAATTTCATATCAATTTTAAAAAATGTTCAAACTTAATCTATTATTTATGAACTCAATCATTAGTCAAGGTAAAGAGGGTATAATATACTTTATATATGGTTTTCCTTTATTTCATATTTAAATTAATTTTTTTACTAAATTATATAGCCCAATCTCAACTATATTCTTAAATATTTATAAATACAATGAAGAATCAGCAATTAAATTAACCCAAAGTATTAAACTCGATCTTTTTAATTATTTTTAAACAAGTTCGAGGGAGAGGGAAATAAATTGACCCAAAACCTTAAACCCAAACTTCTTAATCATTTTAAACAAATTTAGGGTTTAAATTGATTAAAAAGGTTAAATCCAACATTTTTTATCTTGCTAAACATATTCATGGGCTCAATTGATTTTTATTCCTCTTCTTTTAGTATGTGGAGGTGATTGCCTTTTTGGTTAGTTTGTAGTTGACGCGGAACCCAATAGAAATAA